ATGAAAGAGAAGACTCCATTGATGGGGAATGAAATGTGAGACTTTGGAGCTGTTAGTGTTCCATGATAGTTTATTGATGATATTGCAAAGTTTAATATTGCACATGGAAGCTTCCGTGGACACTATAGTAAATGTCACTCAGGCTGTGTCTTTGTTTACCACCACAGCTGATTGTGGGCGGTGAATCTTCCTCCAAGTAAGACAAACAAGATTCAGACTGAATCTAACCTTAATGAGGTTGAAAACTTGGGACTCCTAGTGATTTTGACAAGATTTCCCCTACGTGAGGAATCCGTTTACACATTTGTCCCTGAATGAGGTTTTAAATTGTAAAGAATTTTGTGTACATACTACTTCCAATTGTTTTTAATACAACTATGGAAGTAAGAATCTTATCTTTCTTACTTTCAAATAATTAAAACAGATAAAATATTTGTATGGATGACTGGAATTAGGAAGCAATATTCTCTTTAATTAAGTGACCTAATGAAGCTAACTAATTATTCTATACCATTAAAACAACTTTGGACCTGGACAATTTTACACCAGAGCATATGGAACAAATGAATAAAGCCATACTAGCTCATCTTGATATGCTATAGACTTAGCTGTGCCCTCTCCATCCTCCGAATTTACATGGTGGGTCCTGATTATACAATAGTAGTATTTGGAGATAGAGACTTGGTGCTATAATTAGGTTACTCACAAGAGTGTTAAAAAGAGATACCAGAGCATGTGTGCTGTTGAATCAGAGCTCGTAAACACATCTCTGGCACTTAGTCTCAATGGGCTGGCTCAGCTCATGTGATTATTTTCCACTATTGCTATATTGCTATCATGTGCTCACTTGGCTATGTGGGACAAATCAACCAGAATTAGTAATTAAGTTAGAATTATTCTTTTGAATAAAGCATATTTTTTTCTAGTTTAACATAGTAGCTGTGAGTCCAATTTTAAATTCAAAGTGAAGACAGAGCCCAAGATAGAGAACTGAAAGGAAGAGCTGGAAGAGGCCACATGGCGTATTTCATAGTGAGTACCATTTGCAATCTATTGAGTCAGAATAAAATAGAAAAGATGTTTGCCGTGTTAAAAAAAATTAGTTCAAAAGTATTAAGTGAACAATGTTTTGTCAAATAAGCAGTGACTTTGTCAATATATTTTTTCAACAGTCAAAATCAATGTGATTACTTCATAGGTATCATCACTAAGTGTCTTACAATGTATTTAAATATTTTTAATAGGTGGGGCACCGTGGCTCATGTCTGCAACCCCAGTGCTTCAGAAGCAGAGGCAGAAAAATCAGTTTGAAGCCAGTCAGGTCTGCATAGTGAGCTTCAGGTCAAGCACAACTACATAATGAGAGTCTGTCTCTCAAGCCAACAAGAACTACACACTGAGAGCCTATCTCTCAAAAAAGTTTTTTTTTTTTTGGTGGTCTATTTGTCTTTTTTATTTTTTTGCATTGAGTTGAGTGCTTATAAAACGGTGTGCACACTTGCATGCAGAGTATCTTTTAGGCAGAGAGGTGAGGAATTATTATTTTAGTTTTAGAAATTGTTATAAAACTGCAGAAAAACTAAAATAATTTTATAAATTTTAAAACATTTTTTAAATCATTAAAAACGTGGATTTAGAATATGAATGAATAGAAATATATGTGGTGCCAAATACCCAATTAATTCAAGACTTAGGTAATTATACTTATAAATATATTTATTTTATGTGTTGTGCTGGTGTTTGTGTCTGTGCGACACACGTGTGCAGTACTTGCAGAGGTCAGAGGAGCGTGTCAGATCTTCTAGAACTGGCATTACAGTCAATAGTTACTAAGTGGTTGCTTAGAACTGAACCTGGGACTTCTGCATTAAGCGCTCTCGACTGTCAAATCATTTTTTTTGCACACACTCTTTCAAATGGGTTGCATGACTTGCAGTATGAGAAAATGAATGCTTAGAATATATTTTATCTCTAAAGACATCCATGTTTATAAAGAAATGCTACTAATTTGTGACCTAAAATACTAAGTTTGGGGATGTATATTTTAATATCTTATGCATGGATAAAAGAAGAACTTTGAGGGCCAGGGAGATGTTCACTTGGGAAAGTGTTTGCTGTGTAAGTATAAGGGCGTGGTTTAGATCTATGTAGCACTCACATAAAAATCTGGGCATGGAGGAACATGCTGTAACCCTAATAACGCAAGGTGGGGGCAGGAGGATTCTCAGACTTCCTGACCAGCCAGTCTAGCAAGCGCAGAACTCCAGGTTCAGTGGGTGACCATGTTTATATTAAATAAGGTGAAGAACAATTGAGTACAGCTGAGTTTGACCTATGTCTTCTATAAGTGCCCATCTGGGCACCCATTCCCACACATACTCATGCTAACATAGCAGATATTCCTGCAAACGTACAGTATGGAGCTGTTAAAATACACAGTGCTTATAGAATTGTGAAGGAAATAGATGGCAACAAATATAATGACCTTACATTGTTCTTAACTATTATTGACTGAATCATGAAAGTATTTTATAAAGGGTTACTTATAATTAATCTAACTCATGATTTTCCTAAAAGGAATGTCTGACGATGAAAGAAATATTTGACAATGTTTCTTGACTAATAATCAAAGGCAAAATTGGTGTGGGACAATTGTTTGTATTCTGTCAATTATATTTTAAATAAACGCTGATAGGCCAGTAACCAGACAGGAAATATAGGCAAGACAACTAGACAGGAAGTAGAGGTTGGTCAATGAGAACAGGAGAATTCTAGGAAGAGGAAAGCTCTCTCTGCAGTCCTGACCCAGCCACAGAAGAAGTAAGATGTGACTGCCTCGCTGAATAAGGCACTGAGCCATGTGGCTAGCATAGACAAGAGTAATGGGCTAATATAAGTTATAAGAGTTAATAAACAGCCTGAGCTAAAGGGCCAATCAGTTTATAACCAATGTTGACCTCTGTGTAATTTCTTTGGGACTTAACAACTGCGGGAACCAGACAGGACAGAAACTCAGTCAACACAAACTGGATATGAGCTTAATTAATTTTATCACCATATGCTACATACATATAAACTGTTGAATCGCCAAAGGAACAAAACCAATCTTTCTGCAAGTTTACTGGTTAGGTATAAAATTCCAGTTAAAATAGAAACCTTCTGCAGCATAATTCAATAATAACCATTATATATATATTCTAAGCATGAATCAGCATGCAGAGTGGCTTCTTTGGGAAGAATAGTGTTCTGGAAATTTATAAGCTTGAAAGAAAACTTTTTTCTATTAGTACTTTAGGAATTTCTTTTAAATTCATGAAATTCTCCTTTGAATTCTGTGCTAATAATACTGAGTAGACACTGATTATTAATTCACTTGCAAAAACTTTTTTTTGTTGTTCTTTTTTTGATTTTTTGAAGGTGATGTGTTTTTACTTTATTTCAATAAATGATTCTAAAAGAGATGACCGAATTTTGTTGATTCAGAGGGGAAATTACTTCTTTGTCCTCAGTTTAGCGATTTGTAGAAGTCAAAAGTATTAGAGCAATCAAAAGTATAAGAAAAGCATTAAAAAATTGTTACCTTTATATACATTTGGAATGTGCTGGCAATATGAATCAAGTTTTAAACTATGACACTTAAGAAGTTTAAAACCAGAAAATGAGATTTCCGATTCAAATTTATCACCTGAATTAAGAGATGATGTAACTGTAAAATGAATATCACACTTTTAGAATATTTTGATGAATTATAGGATGGAAAATGTCTCACTAATAATTTTTTATTGAAGTGATAACAATCTATCTAGAAGTGTCATATGTTGTTAAAATTAACCTCTCTCATTTTTTCCTTACATAATGTGGCTTCTTGAAGGTGTAACATTATAGAAGTAGTTTATATAGACTTCTACGGATTGCGACTGTTTTAGAACTAGCCATTAAGGACAAAATGTATTCTGTGAAAAAAAAACAACTAGGATTCCTGGGCCCTAGGAGCAGCCTCCTGTTTGGTTTTTGTTTGGGGAAAGGTTAAAAACAAGGGCAAGAACTGTGTTTCCATTTCTGTATTTTCAGATTCTAGCAAGTATTTTTAGGAAATAGATAAATTTTAAATGAATGGGATACCTATTTTATCTATAAACATTCAGAGATTTGAGAAGTATATATAAATAAGACTGTATATCTCCAATTCTTTTCCTTTTATTGATATAAAAATCTAGGAGAAAATGTTTTGGGTGTGTTTTCCCTGAGTCTCAGTTTGTACAAGCCCTGATTGTTCTCCCCACTGTTGAGAAAAGGAGCCACTCCCTTTGCCTCTGTAGGTTTAGAAGCTATGTGCTCCGTATGTGACAGGCATCCCTGGATAGAAGACACTGATTAGTGACTTCCAGTCACATGCCCTGACTGCATACTCCACAGGGTAAAAAGGTGCTGCATGTAGAACAACTAGGGGCTACGGGAGGAAGTTGTCGTACATCATATTATCAATGAAGGTTGTGACTGGGTCATCTGGATAATTCTTAAGGGCATCAGTGCTAAGTCATAAGTGAGTTTGGTCTCATAAGGATACATGCAGGTGCCCAGAGTGCAAAGGTAATTTGCAATTAGGTCATTGTCTTCCAATGACCCCAGGCATCACAATAGCCATAATATTAACCTTTAATTTCAGATGATATACAACAAGCCAGGCAGTGGCAGCACACAACTTTAGTCCCAGCACTCAGGAGGCAGAGGCTGGTAGATCTCTAAGTTCAAGACCAGCCTGGTCTACAGAGCGAATTGCAGAATAGGCATAGCTACACAGAGAAACCCTATCTCTAAAAACAAAACAAAACAAAACAAAAACAAAGCAAAGAGGATGATGTACAACAACCCCTTCCCATAAAAACGTGTCTAGTTGTGAATTTAAATTCCCCTGGTTATGAGTAGAATTCATAAACTTCAGAAATTTCCTCTTGAGCAAGGGATACAATGGAGTTTCACCTGTCTACACTTCTTCAATCTTAGAGGCAAGCACAGAGGCATGCACAGGTTTACAACATCAATGTTGTCATAATTCACAGGCCATATGGCAGATTGAACATTCCCTTATTCCCCTCCGACATCATTGCCTTCTTAGGTTCATCCTTTTCTTTCCAACTCAAACCTTTTCCGTTTCTGTTAGACACTGAAGAATAAAGGCAAAGATATACTACACGGGATCATAATGTTCTCTGTGGACATCAGCACTGCTAAGAAGACTCACTTGTACTGCACAACACACTGTGGTTTACAAGATCAGCTGGGCACTCAGCTTTCAGACTTCGAAACGGATTGTTGGTGAGTTTCTGAAGGAGAGGAGAGACAGACAGGAGGCATACACTTCTGGGGGGAGGTGCCTGTGAGGAGGCCAGACTCACCTTTCAGCAGAGTGCATCACACTCCAAACCGCCAATTAGGAAATCATGACAGGTGTGAGCCGTGAGGAAGCAAATATGATCTGAACTGCAGGGGATGTGTGAACAGATTCTTTGAGAAAGGGCTGCAGTGATCGCTGTCAAGCAGGGACAATCATGAGTTGCTGCTGCAGAAGGCAATATGAGTTTCAGAGTGAGGAAATAGCTCTGCAGTGGTAGAGTGCACAGTTAGTACACTCAGGTCCTGAGCTTATCCCCAGCATACCTATGAAGGGAGGAACGGAGGGAGGAAGGCAGGGAGGGAGGGTGGGGAGTAAGCTGGAATAGAAGTTACTCTGTGAAATCATTAAAACACAGAGGGTATTTTAATTTCATTGTGTATTAGCTGTCAACTCTGAAAGGTGGCGTGAGTTTAGTGATTACCATAATCATAAGGATTCTTCTTTAAAAAGAAATACAGTTGCTTCCATATTAGTATAAAAGCAACAGAGTAAGAATGCTTAGAAGGTTTGTCTGTAAGATGTGATGTTATATATTTTAAAATGGCATTTATGTAGTATTCTTATTTCTGCCCGTTGCTAAATATCTACAAGTAGTATTTTAGCTGCAGAAGGCAACTAAGACTTGGTAATCTAGAATCAACTTTCCTGACTAATCTTCACCTTTGGGCCAATGCAATTCTCCAGGGAGCCACAGCTGCTTGCCTGAGCTACAGACTTACACACCCAGGATTCCATAGAATAACTGTGGGATGTAGTAGCTTATCATGTTCGTAAAAAAGTATGTGGGAGGGGCTAGGAGGCCCTTTCAGTTTAGCAGAAGTTTACTTGTTTTAAGAATATGTGCTTTGGGAAGAAAAGGTCTGTTTTAAAGAAGAAAGGAAAAGAAAAGATTATTGGAATACATTTGGGGAGAAAATCAAGATTTCTTTAGAAACATTTAGCTAATGTACATTAAATATGGGACTACCAATATGAAACCTGTATTTATTTACCCATTTTTGGTGCAAGCACCATTATTTCCCATATTTTACATATGAAGAGCTGTAGTTAAGATGAAATCAAGAAGCCACATCAGTCTGGAGGGTTGTGTGATTATGGGGTAGGGACAAATTTTCTATAAAAGTCAGAGAAGACTAATTTACTGATTTAAGGACATCTAGAAATAATTTGTTCTTCAGATAGTATATTGGATTCCATTGTTAGGGGTTCTTTTGAAATAGATGTATCAACTGTTCTTAACAAATATGTAGACAACTTATTCATTTTCTTTAGTTTTTTTATTCATTCTTTTAGAATTTCACACAGAATGTTTTTTTTTTCCTGCCCCCTCCCCAGCTCTTTCCAGATCCTTAGCACCTTCCTACTAACCCAACCTCAGGCTCTTTCTCTCAAACAAACAAACCAACAAAATTAAAAAAAGAAAAAGAAAAAAAAAGTCTCTACAAACATGGAGCCTGAGGTGTTGGACAACTCCTCCTGAGCACGTGGGCTACCCTGGAGTGTGTTTGGTATACCCAGTGACACTCAGATATTAAGATACTCACACTATGATGTTTTATTAATAGAAGTTTCTTCACTCAAGTCCTTAAACTTGAAGGTCAGAAACTTCAGAACTAATGCTACTTCAGAGCAGCAACCTGGATGCTTATTATCGAATTAACTTACACACATGTGGCTGTGAGTATTTCCTTGCTAGACTTAAAGTGAATAACCACAGAGTAGCTTGGTTTTGAAAACTTTGGCAGCTGTTTACCGGTTTTGGTTTCAATTTTCTTTACTTTGAAATTATAATACGTTGAATTTTCTTATGCTATGGACTAAACTCCTAACTTACTTTTCTCAAGAATAGACTTACATAGTTTTCTTGATGTTGGCACAAAATTGACATTGGTTCAAAAATGTCACACGATGGTAACCATGGCCAGTTGCCATTCACATCATTGTATTTAATAGAAATTAGTTGTTCAGCAGTTTAAAAGACCATTGCTAGACTTTTACTGCAAACAAATGACAGCATTAGAGGAAAAGATAGAGGATGTCACTGTTTAGGAAATAAGAGGAGATGAGTGATCAGCTTGGGAGTGTGGAAGGCCTCAAATTATTGCCTTTCTGCTATTCAAATACGGACCACGTTTTAGGGAAACTTTGTCCCGAGGAGACATTTTCTGTAATTCAGTCTGACCTCTGCAGTCCCCGTAGCACATAGGTACTGAGAACGACCTGAGAAAATTCCAGTCAGTACTTCTCCACCATATTTAAAATCTCGGGAAATTCTTTCTAAACTCCACTGTGTCATCAAAGCAGGAAAGAAGGAAAGTTGATTTGTCATCAACTTCTGAATTCTCAGGACCTGCAGATGAAGAATGAACTGTGAACTGGGTTGAGAAGGTTGTGACAACCTCCAGGACCATGAACCTGGCTCCCGTTTTCTGTGTAGTGCTCCATCTGCCCCCTTCCACAGAGAGCCGTGAAGGCTGCGCAGAAGAATATTATTTTACGTCCTGTCACTTGTGAACTCACTGAAGAACTCAGAAGATGATTCTGAAAACACTTTGCACTCCACACGTGGGAGTCAGTTGGTGTTTCTGAGGACAGAACAGTAAATCAGCCTGATGCGGGAGATGTGAATGGATTAAGTTCACCTGATCGTCTCAGAATGATTTATCATTGCTTTGTGTTTTGGTGTGCGGATGGAGACAGGACATGGAATGGGAATGAGGTATTAAAAATCTCATTCAGGACCAACTTCACTGAATCAACCATGTGTGATATAATACAACTTTATATAGCTATGAATTCTTCTTATTGATTGACTGAGAAAGTATCCTTACACATATTCCCAACAAAGCCGACAGGGAGGAGGAGACATTTTTAGCTGTTTCTCTAAGCAACTGTATAAATACTAATTGTATTTATCAATAAGGGAAAAGAAAAAAATCTAAGCCTTTTGAATTCCTCCATTTCAGGATCAAACTGTATGATCTTTCCTTAAGTAAATATTTTTTCATATATCCTTTCAGTATTTTCTCAGAAAGATATCTTTTCAGGTATTTTAAACAGAAATTCGAAGTTGACAACCTGGGACGTCTGTCCTAACCCAGCCGTGGGCTGTGTCTGCGTTCTTACTTATTTCCTCTGGATGTCTACCTGAACCCCAGCAGTCTGTGTTCTGTTTACACAGTTTCAGTGTTTGGGGACGTCTGTGCTAGCTCAGCAGTGTGTGGTGTCTGTGCTCTGCTTACACAGTTACTGGCTCTCCTCAGCTCAGATCCACAGTTAAGTAAGTGAATTTCCTTAAATCATGGAAAAAGCAGGTTGTCTTTCTGTCTTGCAGTAGCTGTGGCCTGTGAATATCAAATCCCGAAGCTTCCTCCCTGGTGTGCAAGCGAGCCGGGCAGGTGTTTATTGAGTTGCCACTGCGCACTAAATTCCCTGGTTTCATTAAGCGAAGCAACACTTTCAAGTTGTAAATCTAAAGCTACGCCTCAGCAAAAGAAAGAATAAAAATCACAATCCTTAGAAATCGAGAAAACTAAGTACCAGCAGCCAAGTTCGAACTTAGAACCCAAACAAAATTAAGAACTGCTGGGAGGATACACTGGAAAGGGAGGACCCTGGCTCTCCACTCAGGAGTGGGCGTGGGGACAGAGACAGAAGAGGAGAAAGAATGGCAAGTTTTGTGCCCACATCTGTAAAGTCTACACAAAATCCAACCAGGAAACCGAGTCCCGTGTAAAAGCAAAGAGCCTCTATTTTGATCAAGTTTGCAAACTCGGTCTCTCTGCATGTCCAACGTATTGGAATAACCAGAGAGCCCCGAGCTCAATTAGAATTGGGTTTTTATAGTAGTAGAGGTGGGGGTGAGGGGTGAGGGGTTTCAGAGGTTCAGGACACCTGATTGGCTGACATTTGTCTAGGGGTGTCCTGGGGAATGTCCGCTGGAGGTGATCCCATCCACAATGGTTGGAATGTTAGGCATTTCCTTTGAATGGTCTGTTCTTGGGCAGTGGTCTGGCCCTGAGGAGACTCAGGCCTCTTTTTACATTTATTGAGGGCCGAGTTCTACTCTGGCACGTGATAATGTTTGGAAGTAAAGAACTTCCTTTGGGTGACCTGCCTGTACTTAGCTTATTATGGCTGGCCCCCACAGCAAGGAGGATTTTTTTTTTCGTTGTGCTTGGTTGTGTTTTCTTTATACGCAACCATGAAAAAAATATTTGATCCCAAAATGAAGAGAAAGGACACAAAGCGTAGAATGCTGGCCAGGAACCACCTTGACTTTCTTCTCCTCGGTGATTGTAACCAGCGCTGTTGCGCGCTGTGGCCAGCTGAATCGCGGCAGTGGGCACACTTCACGACACATCGGTGGCCCTAAAGAGCAGCGCATTTCCCCAATGTTTGGAGATGTTGTCCCAAATGGAACAGCTTCAGGTTACAGTGGGAGGTGAAGGTGTGCGGACACAGCCCACATTTAAGGCTGTGACTTCTGGGGTGAAAGGAACCAGCAGGAAACCTTTGGTCGCTCCAATATGCAGACAGTTCCCGACTGAAGTTTCAGACCGCTCTGGATTAAAACTTCTCATCCGCTCACTCAGCCGGCCTCAGCGAGGCACTAGCGTTTGCTTCCCTAATGCAAAGCTATGTCAAAGCTTCAAATTCAGCCTGTTGTTTAGTTTCTTTCTTCTTCTTCTTTTTTAATCACATTGCTGTAACACAACTCTCTCATTTGTTTGTGTTTTGTCTATTCCTTCTTTTTAAATGGCGGAATTAAGTAGCTGCAGCTGAGCCTGTGTAGCCCATAGAGAAAAGCATTCTCTCACCTTTGTCTCGAATGAAAGCTTCTCTCCATAGTGTGTTATCCCTGGACAGCTGATGTTATTAGTCTGTGGACTGGGACCTTTCTTAGACCGCAGTAGTCACGATCTGCCTGTGACCTACATACATTAAAAAGAAAAGAAAGCAACAAAGAAGATATTGGTGTCGGGGAGCTGTTCTGAGTGGATTTCCATGAAGGGGTTTATTGAGGGAGGCCCTTGGCAATTCAAGGGAGCAGGAAGAAGTGGGGAGAGGTCTGTTGAACTACCGTGTGAGGTCTCAGTTCTCCTCACTATGGCTACTACTTGATGTTACAGCTCTAAAATGGCAGTGTTGTGGTTGCCGTGACAGGGAGGACATTGTCTTTGGGTTCAGTCTTGCTAATTTTTTCTGTTGCTGGCTGTGCTCCTGGTGGTAATGGATGCTCTTCATATGTCACACCCTCTGGTGAAGTCTGCCTTCCTGCATTATTTGTATGTCCTTGGTGTTTCTCCTATCAGAAGCCGTTTAACTAAGCCAAGTGTTCTTGAGGCAACATTTTCCTTTACCCGACAAATTCGGTTCCAGGATGTGATGGCTAACCTCCATTGTCAGCTTGATTGCATTTAAATTCACCATGGAAATGTACCTATAGGTGTGCCCATGACAGTGTTTCCAGAAAGGCCTTACTGAAGAAGGAGGACCGCACTCAGTATGGGGAGGACCATTGATGGGTCGGAATTTTTAACTGAAGAAAAAGGAGAAATTGAGGTGAGAGGCAGCGTTTATCGCTTAGTTTTCTGTCTGTGGATAGAGGTGACTATGTGCCCCACAACATTGTCACCATGTCTCTCTCCCTTGGTGGGATGGACCCTCACACTGTGAGCCAAAAAGTCTTTTCTGCCTTAATTTAAATCATTGCCTTAGTTAGGGTTTTATTGATGTGAAGAGACACCATGACCACAGCAACTCTTAGAAAGAAACACTTTTGTTTGGGGTTGACTTACAGTGTAGAGGTTTAGTCCATTATTGTCATGGCGTGGAGCATGGTGGCACACAGGCAGACACGGTACTAGGGAGGAGCTGAGAGTTCTACATCTGGATTGGCAGGCAGCAGAAAGAGAGTGACACAGGGCCTGACTTGGGCTCCTGAAACCCTAAAGTCCAATCTCAGTGACATACTTCCTCCAACAAGGTCACATCTCCCATTAATGACACTCCCTGTGAGCCTATGGAGGGGGCATTTTCTTTTTTTTTTCCTTATTTATTTATTTAAAGAACTTCCACTTCCTCCCCTCCTCCCAATACCCTCCCGCTCCCCCCACTCCCTCTCCTCCTCCCTCACCATTCCCCAGAGCAGTCAGGGTTTCCTGCCCTGTGGGAAATCCAAGTTCCTCCCCCCTCCCTCCAGGTCTAGGAAGGTGAGCATCCAAACAGACCAGGATCCCAAAAAGCCAGTCCATGCAGACGAAACAAGACCCAGTGCCATTGTCAATAGCTTCTCAGTCAGCCCCCATGTCAGCCACATTCAGAGAATCTGGTTTGATCACATGCTCGTTCAGTCACAGTCCAGCTGGCCTTGGTGAGCTCTCATTCGATCAATCCTAGAGGGAGCATTTTCATGCATGCCTCCACATGCACTTTTGTGGGGTATTTTCTCACAGAAGCAAGAAAAGTAACAAATGCATGGGTGAGATGAATGACGTTCTGCCTTTGAGAAAAATCATCTTTACTGTTCTTATTGAGGGTCACAGGAAAGGCGGGAGGCCATGGAGCAGTCCCAGTTGATTTATCTTCACAGGCCAAGGCAACCAGCCTTCAGTCAAGCTCAGACTTTGAGGTTCATCTCCACTTCATTGCAGGGGTTTCTCTGTGTAACTATCCTGGGAGCTGAAGGAGTGGCAGGGGTGCAGGACTTGGGTGGCTGATGACAGGCATTAGTACGACCGGATCATCCTGCTTTCTGGGACCTCGGGTCTTATATCTGGATCCAGGTTTAAAACTCCTGTTTGATAAATTGTGTGTGGTCTTCAGATTTTACAGGTTTGGTAGAACTGAGCTCTTAGGAAACAGAGTGCAGCTCTGTTTGACATATCGGGCATCTTTCTTCCTTCCTTCGTCGGGTATCTTTCTTCCTTTCTTCCTTCCTTTGTTCCTTTGTTCCTTCGTTCTTTGTTCCTTCCTTCGTTCCTTCCTTCGTTCCTTCGTTCCTTCCTTCGTTCCTTCGTTCCTTCGTTCCTTCCTTCCTTCCTTCCTTCCTTTCTTCCTTTCTTTCTCTCTCTTCTGAGATCTAGAAGTTGGCCGAGAGTTAGAGAGTTATTCTTTCGAAATGATGGAGATTTCTTTGTTGTAGATGGCTTCCTCTTGCTAGAGTATCCTAAGATGTGTACACAATGATCATCACATCAGTAATTTCTTGTAATCTCACTGGGCTTCTTCCCACTGTAGAGAGTGGAAATCTTATTTTCTGTCAGGTACTCTGGCTAAGTAGCAATGCAACTTGCTTTATATTCTAGTGGGGCTATGGAGCTATTTTCCCTCCAGGAGTTCTAGAAGATAGGATATTTCTTTATAATTAATATACCCCATCTGACTGTTTTCATAACATTTTATTTTTAATTTGTGGTTGGGCATAACTGTGGTTTGTCAGTTGTGGTCTATCATTAAAGATTTTGAGGTTTAAAAAATTTAAAGGTTTCTGCCCAGGAATTAGCTGTGATACAGGTCAGAATGCCTCTACATATAGCCTATGTGACTTAGATTGGTCTATCTTTACATATTACTTGTGCGATTCAGATTAGACTACCTCTACATATGATCTGTGTGACTCAGATTGGTCTGTCTGTACATATGACTTGTGTGATTCAGATCAGCTTGTTTCTACACATGACCAATCTCTGTATATGACTTGTGTGATTCAGATCAGACCATCTCTACATATGATTTGTGTGACTCAGATCAGCCTGCTTCTACATATGTCCTATATAACTTAGATTGGCCTGTCTGTACATATCACTTGTGTGATTCAGACTGGACTACTTCTACATATGAATTCCTATTTCTCTCTTGAACATTCAATATCTTTCTTTTCTTTATGATTTTAGTGTTTTAATTATAATGAAGAGCATTTTTTTTTCTGGTCCTGCCTCTTTGGAGTTTTGTGAGTCTCTTGCACTTGGACAATTCAACAGATTTGGGGAATTGTATAACAGGAATACTGGGGTGTCTTTGAACATGATAGAGCTTTTCTCTGCTCCTGATGAGCTTGGCTTAGGACGTAGGATTCTAGAAACTCAGGAGTCACCAAAAGTCACCTGAACTCAGTAGTTTTCTGACTGTCTTGTGAATTCAGAGAGTAAGCTTCACAGACCACAGAATGTGAGTTTTAGACAGAATGTTATTATAGGTTTGTAGGTGAAAGCTTAAAGGAGAGGGGGTTTGAGGGAAAAAGGGATTGATGATTGATGAAGGGACAGAGGGAGCAGAGAGAGACAGAGAT